ACGTGCGAAGCGGCAAATGGCCACGGCCGGCGGCAAACAGCCACGTCGCGCAGAAACCGAGGGGCCGGCAGTCTGTGGCTGCTAATGGACATATATGGCCCCCATGCGCTCGCTTTGTGCGGGGGGGCGATGGTGTCAGGCAGCAGCCACCCCGGTCCCTGCCTCACCTTGTCTTGCCCTACGACAATGGGACCCCTGCCTTGCCCCCTGCCTCGCCTCGCCTCACCCCGCAGGACGAGCCTCCTGCGCACCGTCCCACCCGCCGGAGACCCCCTGGATCTTCCCCAACCCTGCCCGGCCCCCACAGACATCCCTCCCCCCCGATCAACATCAATGTGGCCACGCTCACCCCAGCCATGCCCACCATCTGCCATGACCACAGCCACGCTTACCCAATGGGCCACACCCACCCAGCACCCGGCAATACATAAGTGGGTTTTGGGTTGCAGTTTGGGCACTCGGTCTCTAAAAGGTTCGCCATCACTGCCCTACACCATTTCTGACAGATAGCAGTCCAGTCTTTTTTAAAGTTTCCAGTGATGAAGCTCCCACAACTTCTGAAGGCAAGCCATTCCACTGGTTGATTGTTCTCACTGTCAGGAAATTTCTCCTTAATTCTAGGTTGTTTCTCTCCTTGGTTAGTTTCCATTCATTGTCTCTCGTCTTGCCTTCTGGTGCTTTGGAAAATAGGTTGTCCCCCTCATCTTTATGGCAGCCCCTCAAATATTGGAAGACTGCGATCATGTCTCCCCTGGTCCTTCTCTTCACTAGACTAGCCATGACCAGTTCCTGCAGCTGTTCTTCATATGCTTTAGCCTCCAGTCCCCTCATCATCTTTGTTGCTCTTCTCTGCACTTTTTCTAGAGTCTCAACATCTTTTTTATAGTGTGGAGACCAAAACTGGATGCAGTATTCTAGGTGTGGCCTTACTAAGGCTTTATAGAGTGGAATTAGTACCTCACGTGATCTTGATCGAATCCCTCTGTTAATGCAACATGGATGATTGAAAGAAAAAAAAAAGCCGGGGACCCCTCTTCAAAATATATGACAAAAAAAGTTAAAACAGGGTTTGGATCAAGGGCCATGATCTGAACTCAGTTTATTGAATCTTATAAATGTACGAATGTACACCATTTCTTATATACAAAACAAGGTTTCTTAATTTAAAAAGTGCATCTTCAATCGAAGGGCATTGAAATTACAAGCTACAAAATATTGAAATCCAACAGGAAGCGAACACAAAAAGGCTCCCACAAACCTTTGGAAAGTGAAAGGAATGTCCAGTAGGGTTTACACGGAGAAGGAACAGACTAACTGGACAGACACAGGACTTTAATCCTATAAAAGCAGCATGGACAGGAAAAACGATGCTACTAGGAAAAAGATCAAGTGACATTTCAGTGTGAAATTAAGGCTGCTTTTTTACTTCCAGTTACCCTTCAGTGACCAAGCTAAGAAATAACCTGAATTTTTTTTTTTTTTGAAGAATCTGAAAGAAAAAGGGTGCCTCCGGTCTTGGGACACCCCCCCCCCCTTTGGCATTATTGAGGATGCCGATTATTTTGAACTGAATGAAGTTTCCTGAGGCACCAAAATCTCCACATGGCAAATGCCACCAAATTCTTGTAAATGCTCCTCTCAACAGGAAAGCAGCCCTTCAGTTTGCCAAACCCATAAATAAGAAGGGGGGAAAAAGGGGTGGGGGTGGGAATTGAAGCTGGAGAAAGAACAGAAAAGGAGCCTCTATGAGATTCTTCAAAAAAAAAACCACTATACCTTTCAGTCATATACATTTTTTTTAAAAAAAATGTGTTTTTATAAGTGGCCCATTTGTTTTAGCTGTTCTGCCTCTTTTATAAGATTTTCTCCACTGCTGATAACTGCTTTAAGGGGGTAAGAGGAGATGTCAATTCTAGTATCCTTTTCTATCCAACCTGACGACGGCCTTTCGTTGAACCAACTCCCATAATAATCCTGGCTCTCCAAATTTTGCAAGCTGGGGCCAGGAAGGCTGGAGTCCCACAGACCTCAAAAGCTTACTAGAAAATGACCTGAAAAACACAGTGAACTGTAATCATCTGCTATGAAAACCCATGGTCACCACAGTTAAGCATGCTGTATAAATTGTCATAGAAAGATTTCCTTCCAGCGTTGCCCTTTTCATACCAAAAAAAAAAAAAATCATTCTTATCAAAAGAAGAAAATAAAAGCTGGATAGGTATAATTGGAGGTGTATTTCTCTAAGTGTGGGCATTATGGATAGAACCTTTAAATTCACTGCCTCTCCTTTCTGCTTCAGGTCCTCTAAAATACGATCACTTTGGTCGCTTTGCCATCATTAACCCAGTTCTCTAACAGAGATGAACCTCCGTGACCAGAGGCCTCTATTTCTCATAACCACTCTACAAATGGACCACCTGAGCTCTTAATGCAGGGGTAGGCAACCTCGGCTCTTTTATGACTCATGGACTTCAACTCCCAGAATTCCTGAGTCAGCTATGCTGACTCAGGAATTCTGGGAGTTGAAGTCCATGAGTCATAAAAGAGCCGAGGTTGCCTACCCCTGTGACTTAATGCAACAGGAACTTGGATCAACCACTCTTTGTCTATTATCTCTTCCAACACAGATATTACATTTTGTGTGAGAAGTATTACGTTAGAATGGAGTTTTTGATTGAGTTGCCTTTCAAAATGCCAACCCTGTAAAATAAAGGCGTTAAAGAGCTGGAGTCCTTGGTTTTCAGGAGACAGGAGATGTGTGGCCCCATTGGCCCACCTCTGCAGAACCTCCTTCTAGAAGCTTCTGGGCTTGCTCCTCTGCTGTCCTACCTTGGCTGATCCCCTTTCCTTTCACGGATAAATCGCAAGGGCCTTCGGGAACCTCACACTTTGAACAACTGGGGCTGTACTCCAGGACTCCCCCTTTCCTAACAGTGTCTTCAACACAGGCTGCCCCTGGGCTAATTGTGGTCTCCTCTACACCAGACCCTTGCAAAGGGAGCCTTTGGCTGGCATCTCCTTCGTGGCTTTCCACACGATTATGTTTGACCAAGTTCACCACTTCAGTGGTTATGGTCATCTCCTGGGCGCTTCCGTCCCTTTCCTGACTGCAAGGATGCAAACTTCCTGCCTGGGACCTGGGATCCTGGTCTGCTTCTCTTACCCCTGCCTCACTTTTGGAACCCACAATCTCTTTGGGCAGAGACCTCCCTCCAAACAAATTTGCTGCCAAGGTCCTTCCGTGCTCCTTGAGCAAAGAAAAGTTGATGTCCTGTCTTTTGCCTAAAAGCTCAGATTTCCTCTTATTCCCACCACCTCTGAGATCTGCTAGACATTTGCTCGACGTTTCGAATCCAGGCGAGCGCTTCCTTTTAAAAGAGGGCGTGGTCTTAAAATAATTTTGCCATTTACCACACTCTGCTTTGCCCTTCGCGGAGGACAGGGTCCTCTGATCAATCCTGTCCTCCCAAATGTCCTTTCTTTGGGCTGCAGCTCTTCTTTCGGGTAGCTCAATCCCCTTTGGGTCCGCAGTTGGTGGGTTTTCCACGGAAGCCTGGCTGCCCCCGTCTTCCATTAATGATCTGGCTTGTTCACTGGGGGGAGATGCCTTTCCTTCACTCTCTCCTGTGTATCTCCGGCGGCTGCTCAGCTCAGCGACTGGTAGGTCCACCTTGCCCACCTTTTGACACTCTTTCTCTGAGGCAGGGCTTCCTCGCTTGAGGAGTTGCCACCCTGCTTTCAACAGAGCGGCCTGGGGCTTGTCAGCCCCCAAAGTCCCAGCAACTCCAGTGGCATCTGGTAATCCCCCTATCCTTGCGGAGGCCTTCGCCTTTTCAGCCAAGAACCTCTGGATTTCTTCTTCAATGCTGTCATCACTGTCTATGGAACTGCTCTCGTCTGCCAAGGATGTCACAGCCCACAGACAGGGGTGAGTTTTGGGGGGCTCCTGGATTTCTGCTCCAGAAACTGGTTTGGTCTGGTATTCCTTTTTACATTCAGGTTTCAACTCTGTGGTAGTTTTCGGTTTTCTCAGGGGCCCTTTCTTTACATTCCCCTCTCTAATGTCTCTCCTGGCACTTACAATACACTTTTTTAATACGGTGGGAGTTTGGGATGGGCGGTCTCTCTCGTTCTTATAAAAAACGTGCATTTCAGCATCTCCCAATTGGACTTTGTTTTTGCAGTGAATTCTTTGGTCTTTGGATTTTTTCTTTAGTTTCCTTTTGGATCTTAAGAGGTCTTTGATAGCTGTGTCCAAATCCTCGTCGCTATCAAAAGAGCTGCTTTTATCATCTGCCCCATGTTTCTGCGGACCTTGTGTTATGCTTTCTAGCGGACTTCTAGAATTATGAGATGTGTGAGACAAAGGACACGGGAGACCGATAGAATTTATAGGAGGTTGAGTATCTTTTGGATATATAACCATCTTTCCAGTTCTTTCATTTTTCAGTTGGGTCACAGAGGATTTTGGAAGATTCTTATCCACATAGTCCATCTCTGAGAAGATTAATTGTGCATCTTCATTCTGGGGCATTATTTCAAGTTTCCTCTTAAATTTCTTTTTGTGATTCAGTGGCAGTTTTAGGCATTTGGGGAACGTTCTCTTGGAACTTTGAGTCCGCTCACTGGATTGTCCCAATGAAAGAGGCACTTGGAAAGTGGATTTTGCTATCAAACGCTCAGTCTTTGCTTTGACAGCCAAGAAAGCTCTTATCTCCTGCTCAATGCTATCGTCACTGTCAACAATATTGTTGTCGCTTTCATACTGGGAAGGTAGCATGTTCTGCGAAGGAAAGGAAGGACTGGTTGAGAATAGTTTATTGTCACTCGCTGTTGGAAGAGGCAAAATAGTTTTGGAGATATCAAGTATGGCTTCTGCACACATTAATTCGGCCGCGGTGTCTGCTCGACACGAGGCCTGCAGTGTGACTGAGCATTTGGCAAAAGTGTTTTCTGGAGGAGAATAAATTCTGCTTTTCCTCAGATGATTCCAAGGTGTACCAGGCCTATTTATCGCCGCTGCCTTTGTGCTGGCGTCCTTCCTCCTGCAGCTCTGAGCTTTCGGAGTGATTTCTGGCAAGGCACTTGTCAGGCTTGGAAGGATATTCTCTGCCTTGCTGGTGCTGAACCCTTCCTTCTGCAAAGAAACGCAGCCTGCTCTGGACTCCGCAGCTTTCTTAATCTTCTCAAGCTGATAACGTTGAATGGCTTCTTCGATCCCATCATCGCTGCTCGAATCAGATACATCTGTACATCCAACTCTTTCCTCTCGGCCGGCATTGCAAAGTCTCTGCCTTTTCCCATTTTTTTCGCTTTCTTCCAGGAGGAAGGAATCACAAACTGCCGGAGATGAGAAGTCTGTTTGTCTTTCTGTTTTGCAGGCTGCAGTCTCTTCGCTGGTTTTCGACTTCAAGCATTTAGCTGGGCTGATGCTTTGTAGTTCTGGATGCCGTTTTGAGAAGCACGCCTTGCCTCCTTGCTTTAAGGGACTTTGATTCCTTCTGTTTGCGCTGCTTTTTTGACTGAGGGCTAACTTCTCTTGAAGCTCTTCTTTCTGATGGAATGGCTTATTCCTCCTCGTGATCTTCTTTCTTTCTTGCTGTTTCTTTTTCTTTAAGAATTGTTCAATCTCGGCTTTTATGCTCTGTTCGAAAGAGTCGTCGCTGCTCATGCTACAAGGGGAAGACGCCCATTGGACAACATTATCTTCAACCTGGCCAGGAACCACATATGGGTGGGCCAAACTGACTGGACCGCAAGCAACAGGAAATAAATGACAAGCGGCATCACGCGAAGGAAATTTCTGTTGGACTGGCTGATCTTCATCCTTACTAGACACATTCTTGGGGTTATTTGGTAGTGGGGGAAGATTCTGGCTCTTGTTTCGTAGGTGTTCTTGAATGGCCTCCTCTATATCTCGATCAACAGAATCGTCACTGTCAGAATTCAAGGTGAGAGGTCCAAACTCTGCACTCTCTTCCATGTCCATCCCATCAGAGTCTGTTGGATAGTTACGAAGGGTATAGTTAATATGTTCCTGTAGCAGAAGGTCATTCCTCCTAAATTTGGGTCCTCTGTCCTTCGCTGCCTTCTGTTTCTTCTGCACGATGCAGCCATATTTGCTGCTGGCATCCAAGGTGACTTCTTCACTTTGCAGATTGTTTATGATCATCTGGACTTTGGCATTGACAGCTGTTCTAGCCAGATCTTCTTCAGATTCTGAGAAACAGACCGGATACCTGCAATTCCTTGGCTGAGGAAAGGGCTCCCATTTTCTCTGAAGGGCCACCAAAGGAGAAGTATTCATGAGAAACATCCTCTCAGGTAGCGTAAAGACTGGAAAATGTATTGTGTGTCAGGCACACCGCTCTCCCATTCTAGTAAAAAAATATAAAAAAAATGTGGATAAAGCAGCTACAGAAACACAAATATTTCCCGAGTATTCGCAGGGTAAAGAGTTTTTGCTTTAAGACAGATTTTCTTTTAACATTAACTTTGCATTATGTTATCTGAAGCAACAAGACTAAATTAAAATACTCATTTATGGGGGTTTCTTTTATCAACTAGGTCATTTTAATTTCCTTCTGCTTCTCTGGGTTTATTCTGGAGGAAGAGTTACATTAAAATAAAAACAAACATGTAAATAACAGTAAGTAAGTAGCACCAGGAAGAATTGCACTAAGTTTTTCCTATCAAACATGTGAAATTTTTAGTCTGTGTTTTTTTTAATTACTACAGTTGCCACTCAATACCTGTTTATCGAGAAATTGTGTAACCTCAAGTACATAGTAATTATTATACCTTATTAATCTTTCACAACCACAGCCACATACATAAAAAAGAGGAAAGGAAATCTTTTGATTTTACTCCTGAATTGAACAAAAACCGCCTTAGCATTTATCCAATTTACCTTATGGGCAAACAGATTAACCCAGAGAAAATCCCAAACAATGTAATGCCTGGGGACTAAACAGAAATAATGTAAAAATGGTGGGACTGGTAAAAGATTAGTTGAAAGAGTTATCAAAAGGCTCCAAACTCTATAGAAAACAGTACAGTACGAACATATATATTATGGCACTTTTAATTCTTAAAATTAATAGAAAAGGAGATGTATAAAACTTTGCCAAGGAGAACATGGATAAAAAATTTCCTGTCATACCTAAACCAGGGTTTATCCTGGTCACTGGAAAAACATTTCTTCTAAACAGGCAGGGCGGGATATAAATCAAATAAAATGAAAATGAAATGAAATCCAGAAAGTTACTCGTATGCTTGCAATTAAAACATTTGGGGGACTGGTATTGCAGGTTGTGCTAAGCCAAGGCTTGCTTTAATCACAGTTTGTGATCCAACTGGCTGTGTTCACACAATATATTCTCTGAAGGACACTGGTAGCAGCCCAGATGTTACGGGAGTAAAACACCCAACCGCCAGGAAACCCTGGGAATTGTGCTTCGGGTACACATCAGCCCAGTCAAACCCACAACAGCTTTCCTGCATTCGACCTTGGCATGGAGCGTGTATTTCTTTCCTCGGTTTGCACACCGGTGCAACCCCTTCGGCAAATGCTAATAGGGATCCTCACTTTTTGTGGCCAAGACCAAAGTTAATTCTAATGGGAAATAAAACCGACTGGCGCTGCTGCCAGGGTGGGTCTTTGGGACCCCTTTTGCAAAATTGTCATTCTGTGCCCACTCACAAAAGGGTTTGCCTGGCTGGGGGCAAAAGCCAACTCAGCCTCCCCCCAGCACAAAGACACTCTTTGCAAAGGACCTAAGGCTGGAGAGGGGTGCGCGGGGTTGCATTTTTTACCCCCATAGATCGATATAGACATGGGCCAAGATGGCAACCTACTTTCGTTGCCCCTTTAGTTCAGGTAGAATCACCTGGTAGCGCAGGTGAGGCAGAACCGGGAGGGCCCCCCCCAGCTTTCCCTCCTCGGCCCAAGGCCTCCCTCAGCTGCTGCCCGGCCCTCCCCGCAGCCCAGCCCGCTCGGGAAACTCGGCCCCCGCCGCCCCTCTTCCCGACACTGGGCTTCCCCAACCGAGGCCGCCGCCGCCGCCGCCATGGGGACCCGGCCCGTGTCAGGGCCCGTTGCCATGGCGACCGCCGTCTCCCGGCCGGGCCTCCCGCTCACCTGCCGGGCCGCGATGGCGCCTCGCGGGATCCGCCGCCGCCGCCGCCAGGACAGGCGCCGCCCGCGGGGAGGGAGGCAGGGCCGGCGGGCGGACGGGGGCGGGACCGGGCGGCCATCAGCCGGGCCTGGTCTCCCGGCCGGCCTGGCGGACCCGCCCCTGGCGACGCGGGGGGTGGGGGGAAAGGAAGCCCGGCCTTGCCTGGCGTTTCTCCTTCTCCTCCATTCCGCCTTCGTTTTCCTTCGCCTCCCCTCCTGGGGCTTCGTCTCTCCCTCCTTCCTTCCCTTTTTCCAATCCGCAGTCGGCCATCAGGCCACTATGGCGCCCTTTTCTTTCCGGAGGGTCTTCTTGAGACGTCTCATGACCCAACTAGATAGCATCATCAGTGCTGGAAGGGGGGTGAAGTTTGCTTTTGATATGCCAGCGGCTTGCCTTCCTAGAAATATAAAATGAGAGCGAGCCCTAACCGCCTTCGAGCGCTGATGAAGTTACCTAGCTGGGTGGTGAAATGTCAGCAGGAAAACCCCTCCAACTCAGGCAGCACCAAAGGACCCTAACCCTTCAACCCACCAGCTACAAATATTCTCCTGTTTTGTATTCTCTGACTTAAGATTGGCGTGGGCTTGGAGACTTGATACCATGATGAACCTCAATACCAATGAAGGAGAATATTTGTAGCTCAAGAGTTGAAATGAGGGGTCCTTGGTGCTCTCTGAGCTTGTTTTCTCGCAGACGTTTCATTACCCAAACTAGTAGCATCATCAGTGCTAGTAAGGAGTGCTGTTTTTTTACTCCTAAGTGGACAGTCATCCATTTAGTAAACCATAGTTCAACAAACCAGGACTAGCAGTAGAGAAATTCTTCCCTGCACTTGTTACTTGCCTGTACATTTTCTTCCTGAATTCTCAGCTCTTATTTTTAAGAGCAGGATTGGGGCTCTGGTTTGCCATCCCCAGGGTGGGGAGAGGGACGGGAATTGGGACGCTTACATCCCAAAGGTGGACACTTTTGAGTCCTGCGTCCATCTTTCATTTCCTGCCTGTGTCCCTTTTCAGTTTATTTAATTTGAAAAAAAAAATGATGAACCCTTGCAGGACCTGGATATGTCTACCCTAATGAAGAGAAGGACTAGGCAACCTTGGCTTTTATGATTCGTGGACTTCAACTCCCAGAATTCCTGAGCCAGCATGGGGGAACTATGGCCCCCTCATGACTCGTGGACTTTAACTCCCAGAATTCCTGAGCCAGCATGGGGGAACTATGGCCCCCTCATGACTCGTGGACTTTAACTCCCAGAATTCCTGAGCCAGCATGGGGGAACTATGGCCCCTTCATGACTCGCGGGCTTCAACTCCCAGAATTCCTGAGCCAGCATGGGGAAACTATGGCCCCTTCATGACTCGTGGACTTCAACTCCCAGAATTCCTGAGCCAGCATGGGGAAACTATGGCCCCTTCATGACTCGTGGACTTCAACTCCCAGAATTCCTGAGCCAGCGTGGCTCAGCATGGAAACCTCTCTTTCCCCTCAGCATGGCTGGCTCAGGAATTCTGGGAGTTGAAGTCCATGAGCCAAGGTTGCCCATCCCTGGACTAGGAGGGTTACATGATATTTGAGGGGCTGTGCAAAAAAAAAGGGGGGGGATTAATCTATTCTCCAAAGCATCTGAGGGCAGAACAAGAAATAACGGGTGGAAGATTGAGAGACCCAACCTAGAATTAAGAAGAAATTTCCTGACAGCAAGAACAGTGGGATCAGTGTAACGGCTTGCCTCCAGAAGTTGTGGGTGTTCCATCACTGGCGGTTATGAGTGGCAATAAATATTTCCATTAAAATCAACCAAGTTAATTATTAATTAACAAATTTGTACCGCAAAGTTGAACTGCAGTCAACTCCCGGCCTTTTTTCTGTTTTTTTCTCCTTTCAATAGTCTGTCAGAGCAGGCGTGTCAACCACGCGGCCTGCAGGCTGGATCCGGCCCGCACAGGCCATGCCCACCCTGGTCTCGCAAGGGCAAAACAAATCCTGGTACGGCCTGCAATGCAATCGGGTTTGACACCCGTCAGAGAGTCCAAGACGTTCTTGATTTTCAGTGATAGCCTGGACAAGTCACCGCACTTTCCTTGGAAAGGTTTTTTGTAGTTTGCCATTGCCTCTTTCCTAGGGCTTTGAGGAAGTGGCTGGCCCAAGGTCAACCAGCTGGCTTCCACTCTGGGGGGGTGGGGAGAGAAGAATTCACCATCCGCCAGGTTCTAGCTTTACCACTACACCAAACTAGCCATCTCAGTGGTATATGACCAGCATCTTATTTCCGGGAAGCATCCAAGCCCTTTGCTTACCCTAGGAGCCGAGGGTTTCCGTTCCTTGGATCTCTCCTTATACTTCCGTAAGCGTCCTTTCCTGTATCCAGAGTAAGCCTGTTCTCAAGGATTGCCACTGAGGTTCAATAGATACCAGCTATTGAAATTTCCCCTTCCCTACCAATTCTCAATAAACCAACTGTGAACTAAATTCAAAATGAAGAGAAATTTGGCTGCATTTGCACAGCATTCACACAACACACTAACTAAACTGCTTAGTTGTACCCTTGATCGGTCTTGTGTATGTGGCCAAGCAACTATGCCATCCTAGCCCATTGGCTTAATTTATGGTTTAATGTAATTAAGAATCCAGAAAAAGAGGGGAGCAATCGGGTGAAACACAGTTGTATGAAACCATCTAATCTCTGCACTGAAGAATGATACTCTCATTGAGAAAGGATTTTACTTCCAGGAAGGTGCAAGAAACAGGAAGCGCCATTTATTTATGGATATTTCCAAGCCCAAAAGACATTGGAGGAATTCCCCTCATCCAACGCAAAGTTGCTTGCAAAAAAAAGTAGCAAAAACGTTTTGAAGCTTTCCAGATGATTTTGGGGAACTTCATTGATTCTGGCTGTGGATCAGAAATAAATTTTATCATATCTGAGGGTTGAGCAAGAAATTTAAGAACTGCTGAGGTTACTGGAACTTTTTAATTCTTGCTGGAACTGGAAGCCGAGAATGAGAAAAGAAATGAGAAGCATTTGATGCGAGGGATCTATTTCCAGGACTTGTCTCTTGCGAAGTGCTTCAATGGTGGCAAACAAACCCACATCACTCCAAATCCGAAAGGGCGACATCGATGCCCACTGGCAGAAAATGCCAAGAGCAAATGGAGCTGTACTCTGATTTCCCTGCACACCCAGCCAAGAGCAGGGACACTCCCCACCATTCTGGTCCCATTGAAGGCTTTGAATCTCACAAAATAAGTTATTTTAAAGCTGAACAGAATTTGAACAGACGTGGAAATAGCTCTGGTGACCACCTTCCTCCAATGCCCAGTGTGCGCGCCAAGCCGCCCTCTTGGCAGAGAAGCACTTGGCAAGCAACGGGTCGTCTCGACCAAAGCCCTGGGTGGGGCAGCTGCAACCTTAACGGAACAGCCGATACACCCTGGGAAGGTGTCCGTCCTTGCTGGCAAGGGCGGCCTGGAGGTGCTCGTAGCTGGGCAGCCCCCCAGGGCAGCCACTGCCGGCCTCTTCCGCAGCATCTTCGTCACCACCCGCCTGATGTCACCGGCACTCACTTTGTCTGTGCAGGAGGGAAACAGAGGCCACCAGCATCAGTCTGTGCGGCTCCGTGTGACACCCGCTCCCACACAAGGCTGCTCCACCACAATGTGGGCCAAGCTACCTCGGGATCCGCAGAGAGTGGGCCCAGAGACCCAGGGGGAGCAGAGGGAGAGAGAGCCCAAGGGGAAGGCCTCCGGCTGGGGAGGGCGGTGAAATTCCACAAGGGGCTTTGGGCCGCAGAGCAAGGGAGGTGGGCTCACTTCGGCAGCAGACTCGGAAACCAAGGACCCCTCCCAGAATTTTCTCCTCAAGTGGGGAGGCTCCATCCAGCCGCAGCTCAGGAAGGCGAGCCTTTCACTTACCAATCAGGACACAGAGCTCCTGCGGCAGCTTCCTCCCTCCCGTGGCCAAGACCTGTCTCCCGACGTCCTCGAAAATGACCGACCGAGACTCCAGGTTCATCATCATCAGCAACTGCGTCTTGTCAGGGCTCAGCCCTCTCTCCAGTGGAGCTTAATGTCTACGCAAGAAAGGTATCCCATTTGTATGGCATGAAGTATCTCAATCTTTTGGTGACACCCATCTACTGATCCCCATCCTGGGCAGAATGGGAAATTTGAAAAGTCCTGGGAAGCTGGAGTGGGGCCAAGCACTGAACACAACCCACATATTGTCCAGGCAATCAGGAATGCCGAATGAGTGACTGTAAAAGATTAGAGGGAGACTTCAACCCAAGGATTAACCTGGATTGGTTGACATTCTCTCAGCAATAAGAACGCATCCCAGGAGCCATCAAAGACATCTCGGGATGGCCAGGAGGGAGGATCCATTACCAAAGCAATAAACAGATCAATGTGGCTTAAGCTCAAACCAGGATATTTACAAAAATGCTCAAGGCAGCAACCCAATTCACCTGGAGTGGGAGGGTGGGAAGCACATTCTGCTCCTACAAACATTGTAATAAAAGTAGTTTTAGGCCAACATAGCGCCTGTCTCTTCACTCTTCTTCTTTGTAAGGCACAAACTACAAGCTGGTTCACATACTGTGATAAGCCAAAGTGGCTTACTTGATTTCGGTTTAGTCTGTTGTCTGTTTGTAAAGCCATAATTTATGGCTTAGCGCAGTGGTGGCGAACCTATGGCACGCGTGCCAGAGGCGGCACTCAGAGCCCTCTCTGTGGGCATGCGCTCCATGCCCCGGAGATGGCAACCGTCCCTCTTCAACCAGGTGCCCGCTTATTCACCAAGATCCCACGTGGCCGGATGCATCCCAGCATGACTGGTTTCCCTCCCCTCCATCCCATCCCTCCTGGCCTTGCATGCTCTCCTTTTCCCGGGCGCGACCCACTGCATCGCCTCCTCAGCGGCTTCTCTGAACTGCTGGCGGCGGGCTGCGGAGCCCCAGAGTGCACCGGTTGAGGGGCCGGGAGGCTGTGGCTGCTGACGGACACTGTCGGCCCCCATACGTTCGCTGGCCTGTGTGCTGAGGCCGATGATATCAGGCATTGCGTGCCTCCTCCCCATCTATGCTGGGCCTCCTGCCCACTGCCCCATCTATCAGAGACCCCCCAGATCTCCCCCAACCCTGCCCAGCTCCCACAGGCGTCCCTCCCCACGAGCAACATCGAGGTGACCATGCCCACCTTGGCCACACCCACCATCTGCCATGACCACCACAGCCACGCCCACTCAGTGGGCCACGCCCACCTGGCACCTGGCGATAAATAAGTGGGTTTTGGGTTGCAGTTTGGGCACTCGGTCTCTCAAAGGTTCGCCATCACTGGCTTAGCGTGACCCAGAGCTCTACCTCTGCTGGTTTAGCCAAAAAATAAAATAAAATAGATGAAAAGCCAATTATGTATTAGTGCAATGTGTAAACTGGCTACAAAAACCTCCAAATGGAGCATCCTACACAGCAACCTGGTGAACATGCCTCTGCCAGGAGCAGAGAAAGAGCCACCCTCGCCATCATCATGTGGCAGATGGCAAAGACAATGAAGTCTTCCTCCTGGACCACAGAAGCCAAACCAGATGGTCACTCAGATGTCCAGCAAGAGGGCTGCCACAACCAGAAGTGGATACTGACCAGAATCGAGCAGCCTTTCCAGACCAATCATGATGTGGGCCAACTCTGGGATAACCCTAAGCTCACGTCTGACGCACCCTTTTCAAGCTGCAGAGAGCGGGAGAGATTCTGTGTGAATATGGCCTCTTCACAAGAAAAAATCCCCAGCAGAACCAGATAATAATAATAATAATAATAATAATAATAATAATGATGATGATGATAATGATGATGTTGGAAGGGACCTTGGAGGTCATCTAATCCAACCCCCTGCTCAGGCAGGAAACCCTATACCATTTCAGACAAATGGCTGTCCAGTCTCTTCTTAAAAACTTGCAGTGTTGGAGCATTCACCCCTTCTGGAGGCAGGTTGTTCCACTGGTTAATTGTTCTCACTGTCCTTAGTTCTAGGTTGCTTCTCTCCTTGATTAGTTTCCATCCGTTGCTTCTTGTCCTGCCTTCAGGCGCTTTGGAGAATAGCTTGGCTCTCTCTTCTTTGGGGCAGCCCCTGAGATATTGGAACCCTGCTATCATGTCCCCGCTCGTCCTTCTGTTCATTAAACTAGACATACCCAATTCCAGCAGCCTTTCCTTATATGTTTTAGCCTCCAGTCTCATAATCCTCTTTGTTGCTCTTCTCTGTACTCTTTCTAGAGTCTCAGAGAGTCTAGGAGAGGACTTAAGGGCAGGGTGTGCAGGGTGTACATATAATGCGAAATGAGCCTTCAGCTCCACTGCTCCTTTACCAAGACTTACTAATATTTTCTAAAAAATAGTCTCTGAAATGATGGAACTACAGTCCACTAGAGATACAAAATCTCAAGACAACTGCAGGACCTTTGACTGGAGTTAGTGGGACCATGTGAATTCCTGAGAACTTTCACTAGGCATTTGCAAAGATGCTTCTGAATGCTGGCAATCATGTCAAAAGCACAGGGGGCAAGAGGTGAGGGAGAGGAGCGCCTAGAGCAAGGGTAGGCAACCTCGGCTCTTTTATGACTCATGGACTTCAACTCCCAGAATTCCTGAGCCAGCATAGCTGGCTCAGGAATTCTGGGAGTTGAAGTCCATGAGTCATAAAAGAGCCGAGGTTGCCTACCCCTGGCCTAGAGAGAGGGAATCCTCAGAGAGGCAGCACTCTAGCCGCACAACTGTCTCCCCAGGAAATCTCAACACAGCCAGCCTCCCTGGAATAGTCTTGTAGCAGCTCTCTTGGCAATAACGCAAAAGGTTTGGCTCTGCCGGGTTACCTGGTGGCCTCCATCCTCATACAAACCACGTCCAGGCCTGGCTAAGCTTTTGGGCAACTAGATAACTCTTTGCTCCAGAGGATTTTTTTTTGCCTTCAGTTTCCGAAGTGTACTTTTTTACTGCTCTTAATTCTTGGACTGGCTTATCTCCAGTTTTATAATTGTGAGGGGCTCCTTCCACTGTATATTTAGAAAGAGCCACAGAATCTACTCAGGGCTGCTGCGAGTTGTTCCCAGATTGTATCACACAACTTTGTTTTAGTTGAGAACAGGTTTAAGGCAAACCCTCCATTTTAAATCATAACAAATCACTTTATGAAACCAAGAGATGCAAAGAACGTTTTGCTTCCCAACGTGCCAATACTGAGTCCTGGCACTGAAATGAACTCCGGCTTCAGGCTAGTTTTGTTGTTCCTTCCGCACATCTCGGCAGAGCTTGGCGAGAGAAGCAGAGACCGCCTCCCCTTCCTCACCCTGAGGATCCCGCCAGTGTACTGGGCAACAGACNAGAGGTGGATGCTTACCAGAAACGAGCAGCTTTCCAGTCCAATCATGATGTGGGCCAGCTCTGGGATGGGGGTCGGCCCCAAACTCACATCTGACATGTCCTTCTCAAGCTGCAGAGAGAGGGAGAGAGTCCGTGGGAATTTGGCTTTTGTGTGCCTAGCTATTGGCTCTAGAGCTGTGGTGGCGAACCTATGCCATGTGTGCCACCAGTGGCACGCAGGGCCCTCTTTGTGGGCATGCGTGCCATCGCCCCAGTCCTAGGCCTTCAGTTGGGTTTTATAAAACCTTTTCGCTTTAGGCCTCCGCCGCTGCATGCAAAAAAAAAAAGGTTCAATCAATTTCAACTTGACTGAACCTTTTTTTGATTGATTGATTGAACTTTTTAGTCCCACCCAGTCTGCTGTTACCACCGCAGCCACGCCCACCCAATGGGCCACGCCCACCCAATGGGCCACACCAACCCAGTTTGGGCACTCGGTCTCTAAAAGTTTCGCCATCACTGCTCTGGAGTATTCTTTTTACCTTCAGCTTTTTAAGGGGTGCTTTTTACTGCTTTTAATGCTTGGACTGCCTTGTGCTTATTTTTATAGTTGTGAGTCGCTCTTTATGTTCATTTTGAAAGAGGCACAGAATTCTTGACTTATGGTCGCGGGTTGGGATGTCGTTAAGCGAGGCATCCAGGTGATTGCCTGACTCAAAACTACTGTGCTGGCTCTCCCAGGGGCCTGGGAGGGACACACCTGCCTGCCGAAAGAGGTCTGAGCTTCCTTCCACCAGCCGAGCATGCCGTTCCCGCCTCTTTCAAGCCTTTAGAAACACTGCAAATCCGATCTTTCTAGCGTGGAGAAAAGCACCCCCCCCTCTTTCAAAGGACCTTGATGATATTCAAATATTTTGGATCAACATCCATAATTCCCAGTCTTCATGGTCAAAGAAATACAGTAACTGGCTACATTCTACATGTGCTGCACATCCTTCCGATATTTTTTTATATCACTTTACCTTTGTTCTACCTGCTCTGAGAACAAATTTAAGGCAAACCCTCCATTTTAAATCATAACAAATCACTTTATGAAACCAAGAGATGCTTCCCAACGTGCCAATATGGAGTCCTGGCACTGAAATGAACTCCGGCTTCAGGCTAGTTTTTCTGTTCCTTCCGCACATCTCGGCAGAGCTTGGCGAGAGAAGCAGAGACCGCCTCCCCTTCCTCACCTTGAGGATCCCGCCAGTGTACTGGGCAACCGACTTGTCCACATCCTCGGCTTTTCCGCTTCCCCAGGCCGGAAGGGCTCCCAGGAAGTACTTGCGAGCACAGTCCACAAGCTGCTGGTGTTCGATTCCCACACCAGCCAACACCATCCTGTCGGGTGTGTAGTAATTCCTCAGGTACGAGTGGAGGAGCGTCCTGTCGATTTTCTCAGTGTTCTCCGCCGGACAGAACCTGTTCAATCCCACGGTGTTTTCCCTGTAAGCTGCCTGTGGGAAGGGCAAGCTCAACTGATTTTCAGAAAACAAGGCAATGACCAACATACATTTGACCACACTTCCTTGCTTTAGGATTCCTGTGGGCCACTTGCACCAAGAGCAGCCCTTGCTGCTCAACTCTGTTGATAAAAATGCAAGCTCTGGTGAGCAGAAGGGAGAGCTCCATATCTAAGAAAATAGCCTCTCCTAAAGGCTCTCCTAAGCATTATGCAATGGATTAAACAGTTGATGGTATGCCTTCACTGTCTGATTTGAACCCAGGTCTTCCCTGATCCACGGCCTGAGCTACTGAGAACATCTTTGAAGGAACCTCCCTCCGCCCCCAACGTAACGGCCTGCAAGCAGTTCTGTGCGTGAAGCGCTGAAGACCCAAAGCTGAGAAGGGGCTTTGAGCAGGGAGGGGTGCAGAAGCAGCAGGCATCTGCACCCCTCAAAGACGGAGCATCTTGGGCTGCACGATCCAAGAAAAATACAGATTACAGGGGAAATCAACAGTGCCCCCCCCCAGCCCCCTAAAGCATAATGTCACACTACTCTGTTGGCCAGAAGGAAAGACACAGGTTTTTTTGGGGGGGGGGTTTCACCCAAACTCGCACAAAGCCCCGTTTTGATTTTGCATTCCCCAATGCTGCACACCCCTGGGCTATTCTTTCACTTCCCAAACTGCAGGCAGGAACACAACGCGTTGGCAAAACATTTTTTTGCCTTATTGTGCCCCGCCTCACCTAATGAGCACCTAATGCTCCTCATAAAAAAAGACAAACTTGTTTCTTCTGAAAACTATTCAGGTCCTGCATCCACCACTGAAAGGGAATTCTCAGCCACACTGAGGAAGCCCCCACGGGCCCCTCAAACTCCTCAGGGATTGCCCTGCCTGGCATGCTGATAACAGGGTCCTTCCCCCACTTGCCCCCCAGCTCAATCCAGGTTAGAAGGCCACTGAACAGCTCGGGGGCTGCATGGGGCAGAATGCCAGAGGGCCTTACTGCGTGGATCATCTCGGTCAGCAACGGCTCTGGATCGGGCCTCATGTTCAGGTCCTGCAGCTCAAAGCGGACCGCCATTCGAGTCATCTCGATTTCCTCATCTGCCAAGAGAAGCCAAGGAGGACCTCTTTTGGATCCAGGCCACAGGTCCCAACCTCCTCCCAAGGGACAATGGCCCAAACCCCCTGGAGGGGAAGGAAAATTCCTACCCACGTCCCAAGCAGCCACCAAACCCCACAGAATCAACCTGTGTTCCTTCCCAGCAGATAAATTTGATTGGGCACCCACCTACACCCCTCCTGCCATCTTGGTCTCTCCCACTCCTGTCCTTCCAAATTATGCCACTGCACCACGTTCTCCTCTGGCAGAAATCACAAACATCTTTATGGCAACGCAGTTTGCGTTCAGGTGGGACAGCGAAATCCTGCCTGGCTCTNACTGAGGCGCTGAATTGATCCAGGTAAGGCGCCGCCTGAGGAGACTTTCCCGGAGAAGGGAGCCCCGGCAGGGAGGGAGGGTGGGAGGGCCTGGGACTCCCTTCCGGGGAAGGGACGAAGCCGTGACCCGCCTCTCCTCCCCCCCTTCGCCCCTGCAGGAGGACGGGCGAGCCCGGCGGAGGAAGGAAGGAAGGAAGGAGGCGCCGCCCGAGAGGAGAGGAGGCCCCGCGGAGCAGCCCCGGGAGGAGACGGCGGGGAAGGCCCGAAGGGATGAGCCGAAGGGGACTCCGGGAAAGGAGGCCGCCTGGAGGGAGAAGCGGGGAGCAGGAAACGGGCGGAGGCCCCGAGACGGGCCTGGAGGGCGGAGGGTCCTTCAGAAGAGGCGGAAGACTCAGGAAACGCCACAGAATCCAGGAGGGAGGAGAGAAATATCAGTGCCCAGAATGTGGAAAATCCTTCAAAAGAAATGGAAATCTTGAAAGGCATCTAAAAATCCACACTGGAGAGAAACTGCATAAATGCCTGGAGTGTGGAAGGAGCTTCACTCTGCGAGGAAACCTTTATAATCATCAAAAAATCCACACTGGAGAGAAACCACATAAATGTCTGGAGTGTGGAAAATGCTTCAATCTGAGGGGAAACCTTTGTAGACATCAAAGAATCCACACAGGAGAAAAACCACATAAATGCCTGGAGTGTGGAAAGAGCTTCAGTCAGAGGGGAAACCTTTATGCACATCAAAGAATTCACACTGGAGAGAAACCCTATAAGTGCCCGGAGTGTGAAAAGAGCTTCACTCATAGGGACAGCCTTTATGATCATCAAAGAATTCACACTGGAGAGAAACCGCATAAATGCCTGGAGTGTGGAAGGAGCTTCACTCAGAGGGGAATCCTTTATAATCATCACAAAATTCACACTGGAGAGAAACCGCATAAATGCCTGGAGTGTGGAAGGAGCTTCACTCTGCGGGGAAACCTTTATAATCATCAAAAAATTCACACTGGAGAGAAACAGCATAAATTCCCCGAGTGTAGAAAGAGTTTCAGTCTGAAAAGAACTCTTTATGTACATCAAAGGATCCACACAGGAGAAAAACCATATAAATGCCTGGAGTGTGGAAAGAGCTTCACTCAGAGGGGACACCTTTATGATCATCAAAGAATTCACACTGGAGAGAAACCCTATAAGTGCCTGGAGTGTGGAAAGAGCTTCACTCAGAAGGGACACCTTTATAGACATCAAAGACTTCACACTGGAGAGAAACCCTATAAGTGCCCTGACTGTGGAGAGAGCTTTAGTCAGGGGGAAAGCCTTTATAAACATGAAAGGATCCACACAGGAGAAAAACCATATAAATGCCTGGAGTGTGGAAAGAGTTTCAGTCTGAGGGGAAACCTTTATACACATCAAAAAATTCACACTGGAGAGAAACCCCATAAATGCCCGGAGTGTGGAAAGAGCTTCACTCAGAGGGGAAACCTTTATAAGCATCAAAGAATTCACACTGGAGAGAAACCCTATAAGTGCCTGGAGTGTGGAAAGAGTTTCACTCAGAGGGAAAACCTTTATGATCATCAAAGAATTCACACTAGAGAAAAACCATATAAATGCCTGGAGTGTGGAAAGAGCTTCAATGTGAGGGGAAACCTTTATGCACATCAAAGAAGACACAGAAGAAAATCCACATAAACGCCTTGAGTGTGGAAAGAGTTTTACACCTCAGTTGACATCAAACTATTCAGACAAGAAAAAAATCCTATAAATGCCTGGAATGTGGAAACAGCTTCACTGAGAGAAAAGCTTTATAGATATCAAAGATTCCATTCAGAAAAGAAACCATTTAGATGCCTGGAGTGTGGAGAATCATTCACAGCAAACAAAAACCTCAGAAGTTATCAAAATATTCACTTGGGAGAAAATACCTAATAATTTACGATGTGTGGGAAAAGTTTCAGTCAAAATAGGTCTCAGTAAAAATTATAAACTTTACACAGAGAATAAAGTTTATAAATGCACAGAGTGTGCTAGATATTTCAGAATAAATGGCAGTCTCAAAACGAACTAAGAATCCAAGCTGCTTTTTCAAGGGGCAACTGGACTTTCTTGTTTCTTTGAAGGCTTTTCGCTTCTCATCCAAGAAGCTTCTTCAGCTCTGACTGGATGGTGGAGAAGGATATATATTCCTTACAGACACCTGATCATTTGCATTCTTTTAGAGTCGCTGAGGCCACTTGGAGATTTATTTGTGTGTACCCTAACCCTCTCTGTCCAACATATGGACTTCGCTGTCTTCAAAAGAGTGACCTTTGTCTTTTAAATGCAGATGGACTGCTGAATCTTGTCCTGATAGGTTTGTTCTCCTATGTTGTGCCATGCATTTATGAAGTGGTTGTTTTGTTTTCCCCAATGAAAAGACAAAGGCCATTCTTTTAAAGACAGCAAAGTCCACATTTTGGACGAAGAGGACCGCTGGCTTGAAAGGGGTCAAAGAGGCCCTCTGTGTCAAAATTTAACAGCTCTCTCTCTCTACGGGAGGGGTATCATCATCTACCTACAGTCTTCAACAAAGTCCTTTCAGCAGTTCCAAGAAGTCTCCACACCCATTTGCACTATAAAAGAATACAAATGACCAGTGTCTGCAAGGAATATAAATCCTTCCATTGCCCACCTTCCAGTCAAAGCTGAAGAAGCTTCTTGGGCGAGAAGTGAAACATCTTCAAAGGAAAAACAAGTCCAGTTGCCTCATGAAAAAACATCTTTGGGATGACCAATAGCCTATTGACACGCGATAGCAGATCAGTGAGTGAGTTCTGGTCAAAGTCAGAATCAGAATAGAGCTGGGTGGGCCCTTGAGGTCACCCAGTCCAACCCATTGCTCAAGCAAGAAATCCTATACCATTCCAGACAAATGGCTGTCCAGACTGATGGATTTACGGTCAAATAACACATTTTAATTATGATGTACCTGCCCTCAAATCCAAAGAGGAGTAGAAGGACATGTCTCTTATTGGCTTACATATTTGCAATCAAAAGGAAGGTGTAAAAAAAATTGCTAAAATAGCTATGAATTTGTATAAAAGATTTGGAAACTATTTTATGTTAATGATGAACACATCAAGAACATTTCAAGAAGAGATTGAGCTGCCACCTGTCAGAAATGGTGTAGGGTCTCCTGCTTGGGTGGGGGGTTAGACTAGATGACCCCCAAGGTCCCTTCCAACTTTATTATTATTATCTTTTATTCATTAAACATGAACCTCAGCCAACTGAACATTCAAATTGGCTGGCGCTGATGGTTGACACGGGTTGCTACCAGCATCCTAGGTGTCAACCAGGTACCTCCTTAAAATATAAGATGTTCCGAGTAGTGCAGTTTTTTGTAACATTGCTGGAGTTATTGCAGGAAGCTGCAGTTTCTTGATGTATTTTACAAAGTTTTGGGACATAGTTCCCAGTGCCCCGATGACAATGGGCACCACTGTTACACGTTTCATCCATAATCGTGCAGTTTCGATGGCCAGGTCACGATATTTCATCATTTTTTCCAGTTCTTTTTCTTCGACTCTGGCATCTCCTGGTACAGCGATATTAATCAACTGTACGCTCCGGTTCTCTACAACTGCGATATCCGGCGTATTGTGTTCCAAATGGCGATCTGTCTGTATTCGAAAGTCCCACAAGATCTTCACTCTCTCATTCTCAACAACTTTTTCCACATTATTATTGTTGTTGTTATTATTATTATTATTAATGACCTACAAGGTCCCTCCCAACTCTGTTATCCTATCCTATCCCAATAAAGCAGATGTGGGCACTTACCCTTCATTGCCATCTCAATCTCTGTGTGTCAATGTCCGCATGAACCGGATTAAGAACGTTTGACTTAAGGACAATCCCAGACAAGAATAGGCTGCCTATGATTAAAAATGCTTGAAGGCGATGTCCTCCCTAAAGCTGGTCAATTGCTGAAGCGGTGCAGTGCTCCCAGGAGCCACTAAAGCCACGTGTTTTTAATAGGCAGTCCTTGACTTACAACAGTTTATTTAGTGACCATTTGAAGTTATAATGGCACGGGGAAAAAGAGACATGGTTGTTTTTCACACTTATGACCTTTGCAGATCAAAATTTGGACACTTGGAATTGACTCATACTTGAGACGGTTGCAGTGTCCCGAGGTCACGTGATCCCCTTTTGCAACCTTCTGACAAGCAAAGATGACGGGAAAGCTAGATTCACTTAACAACCATGTTACTAACTTACCAACTGCAGTGTCTCACTTAGCAACAGAAAGAAAGGCTCCCAGCTGGGAAAGACTCATGTAACCCATAAATTTGCCCCTTGTGGAATATTATCTAGAACCACATTTTCAGCTGGAGACTAAAACGTAGGAAGAACAGCTGCAGGACTTGGGTATGGCTAGTGCTAGTCTAAAGAAAACAAGGAATAGGGGAGATATGATAGCAGTCTTCCACTATTTGAGGGGCTGCCACAAAGAAGAGGGGGTCACGTTATTCACCAAAGCACCAGAGGGCAGGACAAGAAACAATGGTTGGAATCCGATCAAAGAGAGAAGCAACCTGGAATTAAGGAGAAAGTTCCTAACATTGAGGACAATAAACCAGTGGAACGGCTTGCCACCGGAAATCGTAGGCACTCCATCACTGGGGTTTTTAAAGAAGAGACTGGACAGTCACTTGTATGAGATTGTATATGTCATGTTCTCCTGCTTGAGCAGGGGGCTGGATTATTAGACGACCTCCAAGGTCCCTTCCAGCTCAATTCTATTCAGCTGTTCAGGTCTCACGTGTAATCAGTGTCTTTTATTGTTTGATCATTTGCTTACAGACGTGTCACATATACTGAAAGTATGTATCATTTGTTTCTGTACCCTACAAAAGGACTTGATTCCCCCTTAATAAATGCCTTTTGATTTGCCTGAATTATTTGGAGATCCGTACTTTCAAGTGGGCAAATAAGTCCCTTTGCAAAGGTTGATGTTTTTCTCAAATTCAGGGATCAAATTCTTATCAGCTCCAAGCCGAATTTGCAATGCCTGAGTTTGGAGGCTCCAAACACACACCGTCACCACCCAGTTGTTCAGAAAGAAATGGAGATGATTCTTATATCAACCTATTTTTTATGGGCAAGCCCAGCTCAAGTTTGTACCACTTCTCAGGGTGTTCCTTTCTCCCCAGGGAACATGACACCGAGTCCGAGAACCTCTGCCTAAGAGAGCTTTGCATGCTTAATTTCACCTTTGAGTGTTCCCCTTTCTGTTGGCCTCTTAGCCTTCAGCCAGCTTGTCCTTGGTGTGACACACCCTTGACTGGCAAGATCCAGCTGAGCTGGGATAGGATGGCAAAGGAGGCCTGTCATCTCCTGGGGAATCCTGAGGGCTTTGTGACCTCATCATCCCTGCAGGCTGAACTGTCAGTTATGTCAGTTACCAGAGGGAAGGGGGCTCCTAAGTGGTGAGTTAGTGTTCAGAAGGGCCCCTGGACTCTGGGCAGCTTTCCCTCTTTTTATAACCGACTATCAGGGAGGTAGATGGTGGTGAGGGTGAGAGTTTGGGTTGGGATGAGGGTGAGGATGAAGAAAGGGCTGAGAACTGGGACTGAGAAACAGGCAGGGTGGGGGAGAAGGGTGAGAGATGGCGGAGGGGAAGTGGAGGGGAAGTGGAGGATGTGAGGGAAGGAGGGGGACGGAAAGGAGGGAGGGACAGGGAGATTACGGGAAATGGAAGAAGGAAGATGATGGAGGAGGGGGCAAAGGAGGGAGAGGGAAGGTGGAAAAGGGGCAGATCAAGAGGAGAGAGAGAGGAAGGGATGGGGAGGGAGAGAGGGCAAAAGGAATGGGGAAGGGAAGAGGGAGGGAGGGAGGAGGAGAGGGAGGGTGGAGATAAGTACAGGAGATGGAGAGGAATGGGGAAGGTGATGGGGAGGGGAGTAGGATGGGGAAGGGTGAGGAAAAGTGATGGAGGGAGGGATAAAAGGGAGAAGGGGAAAGGGGCAGGAATGAATGGACCGTGAGGGGGTCAGAGGGAATTGAGGAAGTGCAGGGAGGGGAAAAGGCGGAGACATTGAAGGGGGAGCAAGGGGATGGGGAAGAGGATGTGAATGGGTTGGGGGCAAGGGGGAGGGGGNTAACACTTTTGACCTTGTTTGTCAACAGTGAACAACTCCAGTTTACATTTACAGACTGGGTTGGCACTGTCTCTTGTCATCCACCCCCGGATCCCCGCTTGCAACTTCTCAAAACTTTACCTTTTGCTTGGCAATCACCTTTTTCGACCTCATCCTATTCCAGATGCCATCACAGTGTTTGCTGATGGCAGTAAAAAAAATATGGCCCAAAGAGTAGAACTCTTTGCTTCTATCTTGGCTTTTCAACACTTTTCTGACGAACCTTTCAACCTCATCCTGGACAGTCTGTATGTCACTCAAATTGTTAGCTCTCTCTGTGAGTCATATTTGGCTCCCTCTTTTGATGCTGAATTGCTATCTTTGTTTTTCAAACTGCAGGGGAGGCAACTCCTATTTTACAGCAATGCCCCACAT